CTCCTTCCTCAGCCTATAGGCGCCTGCCACCATGCCCGACTAATTTTTATATTTCTTTTTTTGTTTTGTTTTGAGACAGAGTCTCGCTCTGTTGCCCAGGCTGGTCCCAGACTGGAGTGCAATGTCATGCTCTCGGCTCACCACAACCTCCACCTCCCAGGTTCAAGCAGTTCTCCTGCCTCAGCCTCCCAGGTAGCTGAGATTACAGGTGTGCGCCACCACGCCCAGCTAATATTTTGTATTTTTAAGTAGAGATGGAGTTTCACCATGTTGGTCAGGCTGGTCTCAAACCCCTGACCTTGTGATCCACCTGCCTTAGCCTCCCAAAGTGCTGGGATTACAGGCGTGAGCCACTGTGCCCAGCTCCTAATTTTTGTACCTCTAGTAGAGACAATGTTTCGCCATGTTGACCAGGCTGGTCTTAAACTCCCAGGATTACAGGTGTGAGCCACCATTACTGGCCTGAAAATACATTTAAAGCATGTGATAAGATAAAAGGATTTGATCCCAAAAATTTAGCAAAAATGTATTGAAATTAACATTTTTACTTCCTGGATCTTTCCTGAGTATATCAATTTAAACAAGGTGCCTCTAAGTGAAAAAATAGCAGATATAATTAATAAACATTTGATATGTCTTCAGAAAGCTTTGTTGGTATAATTCCAGAAACTGAGAATTTGGATGACACTTGCGACTGAGTAACAGATTGGATGATTTCCAAGTATTTACTTTCAATAAAACTAAAGCAAGATCTAATTAAGTTGTCAGCTAATAGAGCATTGAAAATAACTTTTGATGATAAATCATTATATGGTTTTTATTACATAATTCAGAGGTATTCAAAGAACCGACTAGCATTCCTACAATGAAATTCCTTGCCCATCTAATTTATGCAAACTAGATTTCTCAGAACTTGTCTATAAAAATAAAAATAGGAAGAGAACTAATTTCAAACTCAGTCCCATTCTAGCAATAAGTAATATTCATCCACATATATAATAACTATTGGAAAAAATTCAACCCTACCAACTGACATTAAGAATGTCTTTCCAATAAAATTTTACATTTTATGCTTCATAATTATTATTTAAAGTAATACATATTGTTTTGATCAATTATGGACTAATAATATTGTAATAATAATAAATCCAAACAAAATTTAACACATATAGTAGCCCTGTGGTCACAGAAAATAATTTTTTAATTAATGTCAATTTATATACATATTTTGGTTGCAGAAAAGAATGATCAGTAAAGCATAAAATATAGCAGAATATGATTCAATGAAAAAAGTGTAATGAAAACATGAGTAGTAGAAGAAAAATAAGGTTGTAAAACTTTTAACTGTTAAAGAAGAGTTTAGGTCTTGTTTAGTGGATGATTGATTATATTAATATCAAATTGCTCTAATATCAGGCTGGAGTGCAGCGTTGTGATCTTGGCTCACTGCAACCTTTGCCTCCTAGGTTCAAGTGATTCTCCTGCCTCACCTTCGAGAGTGGCTGGGACAACAGGCATGAGCCACCATGCCAAGCTGTTTTTTTTGTGTGTATTTTTACTAGAGACAGGTTTCACCATGTTGGTTGGGATGGTCTCCAACTCCTGACCTCAAGTGATCTGCGTACCTCTGCCTCCCAAAGTGCTGGGATTACATGTGTGAGCCACCACTCCCAGCCCAATTGATATATTTAAAAGCCTGATGTAGGCTGGGCAAAGTGGATCATGCCTATAAACCCAGCTCTTTGAGAGGCCAAGGCAGGAGGATCCCTTGAGGCCAAGAGTTCAAGACCAGCTGAGGCAACATAGTAAGACTGTCTCTATGAAAAATAGAAAATTTAGCCAGGCATGGTGTCATGTGCCTATAGTCCTAGCTTCTAAGATGGCTGAGGTGGGAGGATTCCTTGAGCTCAGGAGTTTGAGGTTACAGTGAGTTATGATCACACCGTTGTACTCCAGCCTGGGCAAGAGAATGAGACTCTGTCTCTTGAGGGGCAGGAGGGAAAGCCTGTTGTATGAGTTTAAAATGTTAGTATTAAAAGAAATAAAAAAACCTTATCTTTTGAACTATTTGTATTTCAGATGAATAATTTTAGAGATCAACTTAAAAATGTGAGAGGAGTCTAGGCACAGTGGCTCACACCTGTAATAACAGCACTTTGGTAAGTGAGGCAGGAAGATCACTTAAGCCGAGGAGTTGAAGACCAGCCTGAGCAACATGACAAGTTCTTGGGATACATGTCCCAAGAGTCTCTGTTGCCCAGGCTGGACTGCAATGGCACAATCTTGGCTCACTGCAACCTCCAACCTCCAACTGCAGTTGGAGCTGCAGGAGTTGAAGACCAGCCTGAGCAACATGACAAGTTCTTGTCTCTACCAAAACTTTTAAAAGTAGCCAAGTGTGGTGTCATGTGCCTGCAGTCTGAGGCACATGAAACTACTCAGGAGGGCAAGGCCCACTTACTCAGGAGCCTAGGCAGGAGGATCACTTGAATCCAAGAGGTCAAGGCTGCAGTAAGCTATGATGGTACCACTGCACTCCAGCCTCAGTGACAGAGCAAGACCCTGTCTTTAAAAAAAAAAAAAGTGTGTGGCGATTCCTCAAGGATCTAGAACCAGAAATACCATTTGACCCAGCAATCCCATTACTGGGTATATACCCAAAGGTTTATCAATCATTCTACTATAAAGACACATGCAGCCAGGCATGATGGCTCACACTATAATCCCAGCACTTTGGGAGGCTGAGGCAGGCGGATCATGAGGTCAGGAGTTCAAGGCAGACCAATATAGTGAAACCTCTATATTGACCAGCCTGGCCAATATAGTGAAACCTCTACTAAAAATACAAAAAAAACTTAGCCAGGCATGGTAGCAGGCACCTGTAGTCCCAGCTACTTGGGAAGCTGAAGCAGGAGAATCTCTTGAACCCTGGAGGCAGAGGTTGCAGTGAGCCGAGATTGCACCACTGCACTCCAGCCTGGGTGACACAGCAAGACTCTGTCTCAAAAAAAAAGAGTGACACATGCATACCTATGTTTATTACAGCACCATTTACAATAGGAAAGACTTGGAACCAACCAAAATGCCCATCAATGATAGACTGGATAAAGAAAATGTGATACATATGCACCATGGAATATTATGTAGCCATAAAAAAGAATGAGTTCATGTCCTTTTTGGGGATATAGATGAAGCTGGAAACCATCATCCTCAGCAAACTAACAGAGGAACAGAAAACCAAACACCATATGTTCTCACTTACAAGTGGGAGTTGAACAATGAGAACACATGGACACAGGGAAGAGAACATCACACATCAAGGCCTTTTGTGGGACAGGGGCAAGGAGAGGGAGAGCATTAGGACAAATACTTAATGCATGAGGGGCTTAAACCCTAGATGATGGGCTGATAGGTATAGCAAACCACCATGGCACATGTATACCTATGTAACAAATCTGCATGTTCAACACATGTATCCCAGAACTCAAAGTAAAATTAAAAGAAATGAAAAGCGAGACGGACACATAGTTTTGGAACATGCTTTTTGCCTATTTCAGAGTTTTAAAATGTGCAGACTACCACCTGGAGTAAGGAGAAATGCCTTGGGCCCTGAGCCATGGTGGGGGGGGTGGCCAGGAAGATGGCAGAGGCAGGTAGCCAAGCAGATAGCTCCAGAAAACACCAAGGGTGAACAAGGGGCCTGTTGGGCAGATTCCAAGCCCTTCCCTCTCCCAGAGCCTTCCTAAATCTTTACTCCCAGGATTTGCCCACCAGCCTCAGGGTGGAGTGTCTACAGAGGGAGGGGAGGAGGAACCCAGGAAAAGTCCTGCAGGCACAGAAGCTGGCACCGTACCCAGAGCTGAATTGCTCCAGCTCCTTCAGTGGGAAAAGTATCAACCTTTATGCTGCTCCAGACCATGAGTCACCCCAAGCTTGGGCTTAGAATTAGAGAAGCTGCTGCCTCAAGGTGACTCAGCAGAACTTCACAGAATCCTTTGGAGGAGCTGGGAGCCCACTGGACAAGAGAGTATCCCCCCAAACCCATTTAACTATCAAGATGAGCAGCAGCAACTGCACCCTAGGACCAGCTAGGTTTCTGGACACAGACCTCTACCCATGCTTACCACAGAGATTTTGTTCTGCTAAAACATGATCCTTTGGGGAGACTCAAAGCTGGACTGTGGAAACAGACACTACAAATTACCACTCAACCCAAAAATTTGGATCTTGACAGGGGATTAGAGCAGAGGGGATGCTTTGTTTCAAGAAAAGCAAACTTTTTGTGGGGTTTCCAACAGACCTATTGCTGCCTCTTTTGGGGGATCAGGCACTCAGAGATGGAGATGGTCTTTGCAGCCCACAGGGAAACCTTCTAAACTCCATACCACATATAGAAATCCCTCCTTTCCCCATCTGCTATGAGGGGCAGCCACTTCCAAGGTGCCCTTCCTTCTCTCCACTTGTCCTTTTCAGCATTCAGGTGGGAGGGGGTGATGAGGCAGCCTCTCCTGAAGACTCTAACCTAGGAGTCCTGGGTTCTGGCAGCTGCTTTTCTGTGGATGAGCTCTGTGATCCTAGATGAGGCCCTTACCTCTCTGTTTTCCCACCTGAAAATGGAGCTCATCACCTGCCTGACTCTTTGGGGATGTTGTCAGGCTCAAGTAGGCACAGCTGCATCCAAGCACCTTTCCCCAGCCTGAGGCACCTTCCCCTCTCAAACACCCACGGCCTTCAGGGGTCCCTTGGGTGCCCATCCCTTCACTTCTTCACCCTCCCTTAACAGCTGCGCTGCGCCTTCTCTGCCCGCCACACGGCTGGCACAGAGATGGATACAAGATGGTCACCCCTACACCCCAAACGTGAGTTATCTGCCCCTAAGGGAAAGTGGCACTCAGCCACCCTCCTGCCCTGGGACAGAAGCAGCATCCAGAGATACCAAAGTCAGGAAGACAGCCTGTCACAACCCGTGCAGGGAGGGACTAGCCACCACAGCCTCGGTCTGAGGGGTGCCAGGAGGAACTTGGGCCACCACAGCCTCAGGTTGAGGGGCACAGGGAGGAATGCGGCCAGCACAGCCTTAGGTTGAGGGGTGCAGGGCAGGTCATGTCCCCTGAGGATCAAACTTGTGTAACATGATGAGATCACTTTGATAATTAAATTTCTAAAATGAACAAACAGGGCACACCCACATCCCAGGCAATGGGCCTGCCGATCCCTCCCCCCAGAACATAAATAGTCCCTCCCTGAGCTGGGCCTGCAGCAGCAGCCACACTGAGGCAGGAGGTGCAGGCAACCCAGTGCAGACGGAAGAAGGGAGACCCCAGCAAGATGGCTCCAGGTGAGGCTCCCCTCCTCCTGGGCTGTGCTCTCAGGGCCACCAGCCCCAGAAAGGCAGGCTAACTCCCTGGGAGAGGGACTGTCTGCAGAGCACTGCTCTGCCTGGGCCCGGGACAGCGCATTATGTAATAATGTTTTAGTCCCATTCTTGCCTAAGACTTGAATCTCAATTTCTTTCATTCCAAAGCCGCTGCATGAATCCCTCTTCACAGCCAGAGAAGATGCAGGAAGCAGCAGTGGCTAGGGATGTAGTTAGGGAAGCCAGACAGGCAGTGACGGTGAGGGGCAGCAGTCAGAGAATGAGAGATGGAGACAGGTGATCTCTGGAGATCCTAATTTGGGGAAGGGGGTTCCTTTCAAATCTGTCCCAGTTTTCATGCCTTTCTTCCATCCCTCCACTCCTGTGTCCTCAGATAAAATGTTGGCCGTGCATTTTAACAAGCCAGGAGGACCGGAAAACCTCTACGTGAAGGAGGTAGCCAAGCCAAGCCCAGGGGAAGGTGAAGTCCTCCTAAAGGTGGCAGCCAGTGCCCTGAACCGGGCAGACTTACTGCAGGTACCCAGTCACCATGGGGTGGGGCAACCGGGGACAAGCACCTGCTCCTGGATCACAGCTGCTTGGGTCAGGACCTGACCATTAGCCAGTTTTGAAGGGAGCTGGGCCCAGCATGGCTAGATGGGTGGCTTAGGTTCTTGGTATCTGTGTCAGATTCAGGAGCAGGACTGCAGCACCCACCATTGTGCCCTCAGAGCCAGCCAGGGATACCGCCTTACCTAGCCCCACAGCTGGGCCATGCCGGGAGAGTCTGCGCAGACATTAGCCAGGAGAGGAGCTGAGGTTTGTTGAGTGCTCACTCTGTGCCACGCACCTGCTCAGTGGATATTTTAATTTAAGCCTCACAAGCACCCAAGGAGATGGGCCCTTGTGTCTCCATTTCAGTAATGAGGAAAGTGAGAATGATGCCCAGGAAACTACATAAGCCAGAAGCTTGGGGTTGACGCCCTGTTTCTCTGCTCCTCATCTGCTTCATCAGCCTGAGCCTCTGAACCTCCCTTATCATAGCAGATGTCCAGTCAGTCCCCTTCTCCCTGCTGCTCTATCCAGGGCTACACCAGTTCCACTTTACCTGGGCGCTGGCAGCGCCTCCTCCAGCCCCCTCTCCACCTGGCAGCTGGAGCGACCCACAGAGAGATGGCCACACACTTAGGACAAAATGGAAACTCCCCACCCACTGTGGGGCCCTGCTGGTTAGGCCGCCGACACCTCATCCCCCTGAGCAGATGCCCCTGTCCCTTGCTCAGCACCCTCCCGCTGCGCTCCACACTCCTTCCTGCCCTGACTTACCCTTCTCTCTCCCTGCGATGCTCTTCAACCATTCTTTGTATATCTGGCTTCTCCTCTCATGGCAGACCGCTAGTTTCCACAGATCTGGCTCGTGTGTGTGTGTGTGTGTGTGTGTGTGTGTGTACACTTCTTTAAAGCCTGTCTTCCCCCACTAGACTATAAGTTCCACCAGGACAGAGCAATCTGCTTTGCCTAGTACAGGGCCTGACACATAGTAAGCATGTATAGTATGTGTTATATGACTGAATAAATGGCAGATACAGAATTTAAATCCAGATCATTTGGCTCCAAAGTCCAGAGAGCTGGCTCTTGGGAAGGAGGGGATTGGTGTATACATAGGAAGTGTGAGAACTGAGGGTCCCAGGCCCCTTTGTTTGGAGCCTATTCTGATCCAAGTCCCAAGTTGTGTCAGGCAGCAATGAATGCAACCCCTTGCAAGCCATGATCTCAGTCCCTGTGCCCCAGAGCCAAGCCAGCACTCTTCCTGCCTCTCCTTCCTCCAGGCTGGAGAGAATCAGAGAGCCAGTTTGCATGACATCCCCTCTGCAGATCCAGTTTCTAGCTGGTAAAGATGGCATAATAGCCCACCTTCTTGTGGAAGCTGAGTTCAGAGCAGGAGAAACAAGGGCTGAGATGGCAGGATGTCCCCTGACCATCCTCTCAGGGTCTCAGACCTTAGCAAGCTGCATTCCACACCCTCTCCCAGCTCCCTCAGCCCCCTGACTCACAGCACTGTCTGCCAGGCTGAGGGAGTGACAGGGAAGACCTCTCAGACGGGCTGTCTCTGGGATGAAGCTGTTTCTGGAATGACTCTTATTTGGAGACTATCTGAATTTTCTCCCACCCTAGAAAACCAAAAGTAGATTCCAAGCCAAAAATCCACCTTCTCTCTCCAGCAACAAGGAGGACTGACATTTAACCCCTCTTATCAGACCCACTTACTGTGCTGCCCTCCCTTTACAGAGACAAGGCCAGTATTCCCCGCCCCCAGGAGCCAGCAACATTTTGGGACTCGAGGCATCTGGACATGTGGCAGAGCTGGGGCCTGGCTGCCAGGGACACTGGAAAATCGGGGATGCAGCCATGGCTCTGCTGCCTGGTGGGGGCCAGGCTCAGTATGTCACTGTCCCTGAGGGGCTCCTCATGCCTATCCCAGAGGGACTGACCCTGCCCCAGGCTGCAGCCATCCCAGAGGCCTGGCTCACCGCCTTCCAGCTGCTGCACTGTGTGGGTAAGGAGGATCCCTACCCCATAGAGATCCCCTCCACTAGCCCTACCCTGTCACCTGAGGCCAACTGCTGACCCCAACCCAGGCCTCTGCTGGCCCTGAAAATGTGAGCCCTTCACCCACACCCTAACACACCCGAGCCTCTAATCCCAGAGCCAGCCCAGACGTGTAGCCCATGGGGACAACTACGGGCAGTTTTTTGGTTTGTTTCATTTTGTTTTTGAGACACGATTTCACTTCATGGCCCAGGCTAGAGTGCAGTGGCTTAACCATGGCTCTCTGTAGCTTTGACCTTCTGTGTTCAAGTGATCCTCCCACTTCAGCTTCCCAAGTCGCTGGGACTGCAGATGTAGACTACCATGCTCGGCCAATTTTTTTAATTTTGTAGAGATGAGGGTCTTACTATATTGCCCTTAGGCTGGTCTTGAACTCCTGGTCTCAAGCAATCCTTTCTCCTTGGCTCCCAAATTGCTGGGATTACAGGTGTGAGCCACCACATCCAGCCCATGGGCAGTTTTTATGACCAATATGAGGCAGAAGCAAGGTTCTCAGAGCAGTTCCAGCTGCTTGTCCCTATTTTCAGAGGAGAAGAAACTGTCCTTAAGTCTATCTGCCCAGGTCCCTCAGGCAGTGGTTCATTTCTCACACAAAAAGGGATCAGAGTAGCCCACAGGCCTGGGACCTCCCTCTCCCAGGAGCTCTGGACAGTTCTAAGCCTGGCTCAGGCACCCCAGACAGTTCTAAGCCTGGCTCAGGAGCCGCCTTCAGGGATTAATCCTTCACTGGATTAATCCTGCCCAAGGCCAGCCCTGGTCAAGGCCCCCGCTGCTGTAAAACCTTTGATGGCTCCTTGTGCTTAGTGCTCTTTGTAACCCGGGCCCCACAACCTGCAGCCTGGTCTCTCCTCACACCCTCAGGGCACGGAGGGTTTATGTTTCCAAAGCCAATCCTGCACTCTCCCACCCCCACGCCCTCACTAGCTCAGGATGCTCTGGTGTCATTGCCACAGGAGGAGTGCGAGAGGGGGAGACCGTGCTCATTCATGCCGGCACGGGAGGTGTGGGTACCGCTGCCATCCAGCTGACCAGGCTGTTCAACGCCATCCCCCTGGTGACCACAAGCTCCAAGGAGAACATCCAACTGGCAGAGAGGCTGGGTGCTGCAGCTGGGTTCGATTATAAGAAGGAGGACTTCTCTGAGGGGGCTCTGAAGGCCACACAGGGTATGTGTGTGTGTGTGTGTGTGTGTGTGTGTGTGTGTGTGTAGAGAGAGAGAGTGTGTGTGCAGGCCTGTGTGTTTGGAGGGGGTGTGTGTGTGTGCAGACTGTTTGGAGGGTGTGTGTGGGGGTGTGTGTTTGGAGTGTGTGTGCATGTGTGTGCCTGTGCATTTGGAGGGTTTGTGTGTGTGTGTTCCTGCAGGCCTGTGTGTTTGGAGGGTGTGTGGGTGGGGGGCTCCTGTGTGTTTGGAGTGTGTGTGTGTGTGTGTGTGTGTGTATGCACATGCTTGTGTGTTTGGAGGGTGTGTGTGTATGTGCCTGTGTGTTTTGTGTATGTGTGTGTGTGTGTGTGCCTGTGTGTTTGGAGGGTGTGTATGTGCATGTGCACCGGCCCGTGTGTTTGGAGGAGAAGCTAGCTGATCCCTGGCTTAACACCCCTTCTCTTATCCTATCCACTCCCCTTTCATAACGTTTCCTCATCCTTCCTCTCCTTTATTAGTAGCTATCTATTGCCGCATAACAAATTACCCAAAACTTAGTGGCTTAAAACAATGCATATTATTATCTCCCCATTTCTGTGGGTCAGGAATCTGGGAGCAATTTAGCTGGGTCCTTCAGCTCCAGGTCTCTCCCAAGGTGTCAGCCAGGGCTGTGGTCATCGCCAGGCTCACCTGGGGTGCATTCGGCCTGCAAGTTCACTCTCGTGGCTTTCATAGGCTTCAGGTTCTTGGCAGCTATTAGCCAGAGACATCAGTTCTTTGCTATATGAGCCTCTTCATAGGGCAGTGTGAAACACGGCCAGTTGCTTCCTTCAGAGAGAGCAAGCAAGAATGAAAGAAAGTGTCCCATGTCCCACAGGGAAGCCACCACCTTTTGGTGACCTAGTCTTGGAAGTGACATCCCATCACTTCTGCCATATTCTATTCACTAGGATTATGTCACTAAATGTAGTCCATACTCAGGGTAGGAGATTGCAGAACTGCCCGAATGCCGAGAGTTGGGGGCAATCT